ATAATACATATAAACAGTACACTCAACTATGTTATGTAAGCAAAAACTTTATTTTGGACGCGATTAATCGTTTGAGAGGACAAATTTTAACCTAAAAAACACCGTGTATATATACACTGTTTAATCTTTCACAAAAGTTTCATTTATAATATGCAATGAATAACATTGTACAATTAAACAGTGACACAATGAATAAAGGATACAAGATTTACTATCAGTGATATTAAAAACCATAAAATGTAATAGAGATGGTTACCTAAAAGTTGTTTTGTTTATAAAAAAATTTTTGAAAAAATTTATTCATACACTAATACATAAATTCTAAAAAAAATGTTATTGGGTCAGTGGGGTCCACACAAATAATGTAGCCTAAAGGGACTTTTTCTATACAAAGCAAAATATAAACTCGAATTTTTTTTTTTTTATATATATATAAACTAGAACATGATTGGCAGCGTTATTTTTTCCCCCTGTATGCATTCCGACAAGTCCCTCCCTTGACCTGATACTTGTTTGCTTTGGTTTCCACGGCCATATGAACGAGTTCTCAATTGTCCAATCACGATCGGCTTTGATGTCATTCCGACCAATCCGATGGTCTGGTAGGCGGAGACTTGACGCGTGAGAGGCGGGACTTACCGGAGCCTCCATCACTTCCTGTGCCGCAGCCTGTAAACCTCTACGCTTCCATTCTGGGCTTCAATACACAGACACAGTGGGCCCGGCGCTTCATTAAAACACCCCCCCCTTTTCGAATATATATATCTATATATAAGTGTGAATTCAGCGGCTCAGAATGGAGATATCTGGTAACTCGAGTAAGAAGCAGAAACTGAGTAACGCGCCTGAGAGCTGGGTGAGTAACTCTGTTAGCGGCTGGATATTGAGGGATGTTTTGCATTACTAATGTGGTACAGTTACAGTAACACACCTCGTGTTATGAATATGGTGTTTTTGCTTATGCTGAATCTGACCTATCCCGTTTTAATTGATAATATAAGTGAAGTCCAGAATAATCATGCCTGTGTAATGGAGGTCCTTAGTTGTGATAATTGTATGAAAAAGATAGGTATAATAATTTTATGCGTAGATATTACCTGTGTCTTACAACCTAGTGTGCTGCCCACCTAGACAGCATTTCTAGGCAGCACAAGTACGAGTATTATCACTTTTTGGACATTTACTACGATACTAACATGGCTTCTAGGACGTGTAACGTACAAAGTCTTCTTTGGAGTATGTAAATACCATGGTACATAGATTTGGCAATCATTTAATACCACGTTCTATATCAATGGTACTACAAACAGTGTTTTTGATTTATAGGTGTGTGCAATATTTTTGAATATCTTCCATAAAAATGAGCATGTTTATTTGGGCATGGTACCATGATACTGCAATTTATTTATTTGGTATATGTATTATGGCATTAAAAGTATGTTGTTGTTTTTTTTACATTTATATATGCATGTATAACAAAATAATTAATTAAAAATAATCACAATTAAAAAATAACACCAAGAGACATGTGCAAATTTTAACTTGACCGAAAACACTTTAATTGTTTCTCTTACGTCAATCAAACAGAGATGAGACCGATTAAATAAATGTGATGTAAATGTGTTTCCTGCAATTTGTGCAGGGGATGCAAAGAGCCACCAATGTGACGTATCAAGCCCATCACGTGAGCAGAAACAAGCGTGGCCAGGTAGTCGGCACTAGAGGAGGCTTTCGAGGATGCACGGTGTGGCTTACAGGTACTCTTATCAACCCCTCTGTTATTTTAGAAAATGAATAACTCGATGTTTCCATCATGGCTATATCTAAAAGTTTCAGTAAATATCATGACCTATTGTTCTGCATCCTCAGGTTTGTCTGGTGCGGGTAAGACGACGGTCAGCATGGCTCTGGAGGAGTATCTGGTGTGTCATGGCATCCCCTGCTACACTCTGGATGGAGATAACATCAGGCAGGGCCTCAATAAAAACCTGGGCTTCAGCCCTGAAGACCGCGAGGAGAACATTCGTCGTATCGCAGAAGTGGCAAAACTGTTTGCTGACGCTGGGCTTGTGTGCATCGCCAGCTTCATTTCCCCATACAGCAGGGTGAGAAACATGCAGGACTTTTTGTGAAAGACTTCTTAACCGTGTAAAGCCTGACATATGAAATAATATTCCGAAAAATATAATGTTTTATATTTTCTGTTATAGTCAGGCTTTTATGGCTCATATACTCTGATATAGGAGAATATGGAGCTCGTACTTGAGGCCCAAACTGAAATATTCAATATGCATGTAAAGATATTCAAGTAAACCTCAGTTGCTTCAGTCCAGGAAGTGTTCATCTTATTCTCACACGTTATTCTAACATTTACTCTATAAAAATCACTATGGATTTCACAGCTAAAACACACATGTACCACAGCCTGAAGGGAGATGTGCTTGCCTTTGAGATGCATGTATCAACTTTGTTGCAGTTGGCTTTATAAGGTTAAATGTTTCATCAATTGTTTAGTTTTTTTGTCTGCTGCATGTCCTCAGGATCGTCTGAATGCAAGGAAGATCCATGAAGCTGCTGGCCTTCCATTCTTTGAGGTGTTTGTAGATGCTCCTCTGGATGTGTGTGAGCAGAGAGATGTGAAGGGGCTCTATAAGAGAGCTAGGGCTGGAGAAATCAGAGGTAAGACAATTTTATAGAGATACATACAGTATTGTACAAAATATGTGTTCAAATATGCTTATTTTCACTCACTCTTTTGATGTAGATACGCTGTGTTTTATGGCTCAAATGTAATCTCTAAATGGTCAGTAGTCAATAGGACAGTCTGTCCTAAAGTGCTGTGTCAACAAACCCAAAGCATTCTCTTAATTTGTGTGACCTATTTGTGCAGAAATATGTGAAATTATTAAACGAGACAAGACAAGGGCCTTGGAATGTTTTGAGGTACTGAAGATGGGAAAAAATGTTTTGAGGTACTGAAGATTTTTTGCAAAATGTTTAAAATCGGAGATTGTGGGCTTATTGGTGTGCGTAGCATTTCATATTGGGAAGCGCAATGGTGTTATTAGCACTGTGTGAGTAGTTTGAGAATAAGTGTAAGGTCTTTGAGAGGTCACACAAAACATTTTGATGTTGCAATTCAGTGGTGATTCATCACAACCCTTTTGGTTTCCTGAAGAGATTGGGGTGATTCTTGGAAAGCAGGTTGTTGGTAGGAGATGACTGTGACTGTGTTTCTTGCTGTTTTTGTTTTTGATTGAATTTCTTTTGCTGTGGAGCTGCAGAATAAGTAAGGGTAAATCAGGTGAAGAGTGATACAGGAAAGATGCAAATCTGAAAGCTGCTAACATCTTGTGATGAAAATGATTGAGGTTTATAGCAGGAAGTGTCTTTCTCTCATGTACATGTTAACTGATACATGCACAGTGCATCTGAGCTGCTTTGTACGGTGGTAGAAAACAACAAATCATTTCAGCGCTACTAAGAACTGAACTGTTGAAAATTTGTTTTCATGAAGTGCATTCAAAGTATGTCTGTTTCTGCTTGGGTTTTTAGTATAACGGGTTACTCCTGTTGTCCTCAGGGTTCACTGGAATAGACTCTGAGTATGAGAAGCCAGAGGCCCCTGAACTTGTACTGAAGACGGATTCTTGCAATGTGAACGACTGCATCCAGCAGCTTCTGGACCTCCTGCAGGAGAGGGTAAGTTCACTCCTTTCATTCATGTTAAAGTGAATTCACTGTGAGCCTCCGCTATATATATATCTTCATAGCATATTTGGAGATTGTGATTTAAATGTCTTGCTTGGTTTACAAAATAATGCATATTTCAAATGACCGGTTGCAGGCAGTCGAACAGCACTTGGCACAGAAGTGTTTGTCACATCAATGAGTATGTTTACCTGCAAAGAAATATTCTGATACTAATCTGAATGGTACAAATGAACAGTTAGTATGAAGTCATGTAAATGCCACAATCCCTGGAATAAGCCTGTTTTAATTAAAAGTTACATGTTTAACCCCTTAACTCTCACCCCCCATTTTTAAAATAGGCACGAAAGTGCACTATCCAAACTTAAATTGTTGTAATTTATGAACACTTTGGAATACAGAAAATCAGCAGATTATTGCAAAAATTAAAGTATCAAAAAGTTATAGAAGTTTAAATTTACTGTAAATAAAATGCACCATATTCATTTTATTTTATTTTATATATAATAAATATTTTACATAACAGGTTTTACTCTAAAATTGGTATAAAATTAAAACCTTATGTCTAAATAAGTTATGTTCCAAGTTTGAAGTTGATATGAAAAAAATGGAGGTTCCTGTGAGATTTTATTTAGGGCGTATACCACAAACAGCCACCGGGTGCCATCCAAACTCCATTGAATTTTTGTAATGCATTTTCCTGTCACAAATGTCTAGATTTCTCTGTCAATATTACTTCTATATAATTATATATAATTTATGATGATTACTTAAAAGATCTGATAGAGAAAAAGGACAACAACAAAAAAAGAGCGCCAAGCGTCCGATTAGCGTCGATTAATTTTTACGCCAGTCTTCAGAAATCATTCTAATATGCTGATTTGGTGCTCAGGAAACGTTTCATATTATTATCAATGTTAAAAACAGTTGTGCTGCCTAATATTTTTGTAGAAACAAACAGTGATACATTTTTTCAGGATTCTTTGATGAATAGCATTTTTTTTATTATAAATGTATTTAACTATTGCTTTTGATCAATTAAATGCTTTCTTGCTGAATAAAAGTATTTCTTTCTTTCTTTCTTTCAAAAAAAAAAATCGTACCGACTCCAAACATTTGAACTGTAGTTTATTTAGCGGTGTCAACTCATGGCTAAATGGATGCATTTCTGTGTTGCCGACAAGACAGCAATTCTATTTTTTAAATAGAATTAATTAAATTGACTTATTTTGATGCCTTCAAGCATTTAACCATCATATTCTAAATATTGCCTTAAACTGAATTTTAAGTACATGTTAACTTTGTCATTATCACATTACACGATGGGGTATTTTTCTATGCACTGTACGCTGACATCCTTATTTAATGAACACAAGGCCAACACTGATTCTTATAGAAAAAGTTGCAAGTTGGCTTAGCAGTGTCTCTTATCCTTTCATCATACTTGGATATAAATGACAATGATCTCTGTTTAATAATGTTTTGACTGTTTGCAGGAGATTTGATGCCTTCAAGCATTTAACCATCATATTCTAAATATTGCCTTAAACTGAATTTTAAGTACATGTTAACTTTGTCATTATCACATTACACGATGGGGTATTTTTCTATGCACTGTACGTTTAATGAACACAAGGCCAACACTGATTCTTATAGAAAAAGTTGCAAGTTGGCTTAGCAGTGTCTCTTATCCTTTCATCATACTTGGATATAAATGACAATGATCTCTGTTTAATAATGTTTTGACTGTTTGCAGGACATAGTTCCTGTGGACGCATCCTACGAGGTCAAGGAGCTCTATGTGCAAGAGAACAAGCTGGACTTGGCAAAGGCTGATGCTGAGACTCTTCCAGCAGTGGAGATCACTAAGGTATCTTCCCTCCTCATATGCCACTCGAATACAGATTTAAACATCTGCAAATGGTTTGCAAACACATTATGACTTAATAAGGCATGACTTACGTGCATCCTTACAGCTAATGCCTGTTCTGTGTTGGTGTGTTAGGTGGACATGCAGTGGGTTCAGGTGCTCGCTGAGGGCTGGGCCACTCCTCTGAACGGCTTCATGAGGGAGGGAGAGTACCTACAGTGCCTGCACTTCAACTGTCTGCTTGACGGTAAACAGATGACCTTATATGATCTTGTGTCTTCTCATGGCATTGATTTCTTTTTCATGCGCTGTCTTCTGAATGCACCACTAGATGGCGACGTTCGACAGTGCAATGCACCTTTTTCTGCCAGCCACTATTACATTCAGAAGTGCATCATCTTTTCCACTTGTTTGGATTCACTGAATGGTTTTCTTTTAATTGACGATGACAGAGGGAAGAAACAATTTTCAGAAATATTTTGCACATTTATGTAAAACAGAAAACTTGAGCAAATTGATTGGAAACCAACATCAGGTAGAGCATGAAGAAACCCAAGAACCTACTAATAATCTACTAATATTTCAGAACTTCAGGGTAGAATCAGGAGAACAACTCAGAATGGGGGTCCAATCGCAAAAAACATTTCTTTTCTGTGATGGAATCTGAAGGCTCAGCAAGTGGATTTTAAATGTTAATTAGTGGTAGAAATAAAAGAGCTATTATAGTTTTAATGGAGGCTTGGGTGATGTTGATCACATGCTCTCAAGCCAGTTTCAGAAACCCGATCATCTGAAATAAAAAGTCGGCACCTTTTTGATTACAAGAACGACAAATGTGCGAATGGCTTTTTAAAACCATAATGCGGTCCTCGCATTTATAGAACCGGGTAATTACAGCAATTTCCCACATCAAGCTTGAGTTTCCAAAAAGTGTCAATTTAGTTTTACAGCCTCATAAGGCTCTGCTGAGTGTTGTCTTGCCTAGTATTCAAATTTGCGTCCAAGGTATGCATTGACACTCTCACACACACACACACACGTTTGTTTTTGTGAATTTTGGGGACATTCCATAGGCGTAATGGTTTTTATACTTTTATACTGTACAAACTGTATTTTCTATCGCCTAACCCTACCTCTTACAGGAAACTTTGTGCATGTTTACTTTCTCAAAAAAACAAATTCTGTATGATTTATAAGCCTTTTGAATTCCAAGGTATGCATTGACACTCTCACACACACACACGTTTGTTTTTGTGAATTTTGGGGACATTCCATAGGCGTAATGGTTTTTATACTGTACAAACTGTATTTTCTATCGCCTAACCCTACCTCTTACAGGAAACTTTGTGCATGTTTACTTTCTCAAAAAAACAAATTCTGTATGATTTATAAGCCTTTTGAAATATGGGGACATGGGGCAATGTCCTCATAAATCACCTTCTCCTTGTAATACCTATGTCATACCCATGTCATTATACAAATTTGTGTCCTCATATGTCACAAAAACACACACACACCTATTAAGATAAAAAAGTGGGCCTAGTAGATGCTTGCGTTTAGTTGTGACAGAATACAGCAAAAGAAAGGCATTAGGAGTTCATGCATTACATCAACAGCGTCATTAGACTTGATTTCTGTACATCACACCTTGTCTTATTGTTTTGATCCTTACAATATGCCCAGTTGGACTCTTGTTGGACCAGACTGCCATCTTTATGAAGCGGACAGATTTGTGCATGTTGCGGCCTGATACTAGTTTACTTTGAAATGAGTTGAAATGGGATGCTCGCAGGGCTCTTTCTTATGGAAAACAGCTGTTTCTGCTATGTGTGTGTGTGTTTCATCCTGAAAATGGATTTTAAAAGCTTCCCGCTCATATTGCTTTAATCAAGGTGTTGGACCTCTTACTTTCTTAGAAAACTCGCCACTTTCACATTCAAGAGTTCTTTCTCTTATCTTGCCCCATAGGCCATAGGACTCTTTCTTTTTAGGCCTTTAAAAGTGGTCGATTTTTCAAAGCCTCAGTCTGGTTGATATATGCACCATGCATCTTTCCTCTGTTTATAGGTGGGGTTATTAACCTGTCGGTGCCAGTGGTCCTCCCTGTTTCAAGTGCCGATAAGGAGCGTCTGGATGGCAGCACTGCGTTCGCGCTGGCCTACGGTGGTCAGAGGGTCGCGATACTGCGAAACCCAGAGTTCTACGAACATCGTAAGGAAGAGCGTTGTGCCCGGCAGTGGGGCACCACATGCAAGGATCATCCATACGTCAAGGTCAGAGGGGTCAATATAGACAAAGCCTGTATGATTAGAAGATTACTAACAGTTTCCTAACAAAAGTAATAAAGCAAAAGTTCTGCATGACCTGACACAATCACAACCATTTAGAACGTATTTGATTGATTGTAATTACTAGATTACTGTAATTACTTTTCTCTGAGCAACTCGCTTCTTAGAACTCGGAATTATGCGTTTGAATTTCAACACTATTAATTCCAAATGAGTTGGTGTAAGTCGAGTAATCAGTAGACAAAACCACAATACAGGAAGTTGTGCAAATGCCTTGTTAATAAACCTAGTGTTTTTGCGGGACATTAGATAGGTGTTTAACGCTGCTAGCTACATTACACTGCATTGTATGTCTTTTGTTTGTTTTTAAATTGTTCTTGCATAATTAAGACATTTACAGTAGTCAATTATAGGAGTTATTAAATAGGAATATTACAAAATAACTGCTTAACTGCATTGTAATGCTAAAGCCACTGCCATTTTAAGTGTTTCCACATGGCGTTGAGGAAGTAGGAGCTCTCAGCAAATTTAGAGTTTACAAGTAATTGTTACAATTTACGCAAGTAAGTAGTTACAAGTATGAGAGGATTTGAGCGCATTTTACAAGTTGGAAATGTCCTAAACCTCTGGTGCTGCTCAAAAATGACTTTTGTTTTTGGTTTTGATTTTTAATTTCGTTAATGTTTCGTTTGTTAATATATTTTCATTTTGGGGGGCTTTTATGGTACTAAATTACATTCATGGACTAGTTATGATTCATTTGTTACCAGTTAACGGTTAAAATGTGGTTAACTGTTAATCACTTTTTGAGCATGCAAAATTTCAAACATAAACTGTCCTAAATCTTAAATTATTTGGTGCAGAGACTTGTGTTTGGTGTCTTTTTTTTAAAGAAGTGAAAAAGATAAAGTGAAACTTAAAAAAAAAAAAATGGTTGAAGTTTAAGTTTACTATTCTGAAAAATGTACAAAAAAATATTTTTAAATTTGATTTGAAATGTGTTTTCTAAAAAGTGTTTTACTCTAAAACTGTGAAAATCAAAGCCATAATCTAAACAAGTTATGTTCCAAATTTGAGGTTGATATCTCAAAAATTAGATTTTGTTTGGGCGCTGTACCAGATATTTCCATTAGATCAAATTTGCTTCAAACTATTTCAAATGTGGTCATTTTCTTTTTAAGTGTGACTTTTTTTTTTTGCAGGACCATTTAACCTTTCTAAATCATGTCCATAATTCTTTTGTGTTCACATAGCAAGTGCCAAAACCGTTTCCAAGTTTCGTACAATTCCGATGAAGTTATTCTTTCAGAATTGAAGTAATTCTGGAGTGAATACACCTATACGACAGTGTGGAGCTGGATTTTGGACTAGTGAGATTTCGTTGTGCTGTGTAACCACATATATGTAAACGTAACCATAGACTTGATGCTGGTTAGGATAAAATTGTTGATAAAATATTTCTATCAACTTATGTAAGCAGTTGGCAATGATTAACGTTATTCTGTATCTAATTTTTGTTGTCAGCTCCCTCCCTTTCCTTTCTTTTCTGACTCACAAACCACCTGGAAAGTCCCGATTATATGCATGCCGTAAATGAGAGCACTGTTTAGACTACTTACATGTTCACAAGAAAGCAGAATCACAGTGATTCAGCAGCATGATCCATTAATGCATCACTTTTCACCTGTCTGAGACTGAGCATCCTTTATAGGACTAATTTGCCGGTTGCTTCATTGCTCTTTAGTGATGTTTATGAGCAAATATTATTGCTCTTGCTTTGGTTTTGATCTGAAACTCAACCCGCAGTGTTGCGCTAAAGACATTACAGCTTAAATCTACTGTTTTCTTAAAGGACACCTAAGAAGGGACATCATGACTGTGAGTTATCCCAGGGACATTTTCTTCTAAAATGAAGTTTTGTTTATATCTGTAATTGTGTTTAAAAGAAAAGATTTTCCACTTATGTCCCATTTTTTGAAGGTAAAATCAAGTGACCTGATGCTTTAATAGGTGTTTGTGCAGTCGCATTGCCAAGCTTTCCTTGGACTGCACTCTGACAGAAGACAGAGCCACGATGCCCTCTTAGTCGGTCTATGGAAACAAGGTCTCGCTCTCTCTCTCATCTTTGCTCAGCCTCCGCTTTAGTAATCTCTTTATTCCTCGACCTCCTTCATTTCACACATGTGTTTTAGTTGGATTTCTCGCCCTGCGTTCTATTTAAACAGTGTTTAGGCAAGTGGCGCTCTCCTCCCCTCCTCCTCTCCCCTCACCTTCCTCTTACAAATCTCGCAGAGTAAATACTGAACAATTGTTTCCATCTGTAAGTAGGGATTGTGGGCTTAGGTAGAATTTAATGGCTCCGCTCTGCTCCAGCTCGCACTAATGGGCGCCAACGGAGAGCTTTCGGACTCTCGAAAGGCCCTGTCTGTCTGCTTGCCTTTGGTCACAAATAAACCCATCCACAGACCAAAGAAAGAAATTGCATGCCTTTTGGAGGATGTCAAAAGAAAATAGTTTTTTCAGAATATTTATAAAGTTATTATTAAATTATAAAACAATATAAACCATATAATAATATAATATATAATAAGAATAATAAAAGAATTATATATATAATTGAGGAGTTTTTATTTCAATTTAAAATTGATGTAAAAAGGTTAGTTTGTATGTGAAATTGTAATGTATATTTAATTGTGCATACTTATTTACATAAATTTTTACATTTAGATGATAAAACTCACTTTTAAAACACTAATCATTCAATAACAAGCTAATCTCAAAATGAAGTGTACTTTATTATCTTGTCATGCCTAAATTGATGCATTTTAAACAATTTATTTTATTTCTGGTGTGCATAATTATTCTTCTTATTATAGTTCTAAATTATTCTAGGTAGACCAGCGTAGAATTTAAATATCAGATTACTGGCCATAATTTATTTATTTGTTTTTGGATATTTCATTTAACTAAAATTGTTTGCGGAAAATGGCTAGCGAATGTGATTTCTAGTTTTTGATCTTATGAATCTGCAATTTGATTTTATGAATCTGTATAAGTGAAATATGAATATATATATATCTATATATATAAGCTGAGAATATACTATGTTCATAGAATCGTTCATCTCATTATTTCACTGTGTCTGGTGTGTATGTTAAACTCCCTCTGCTGAAGCGTGTCAATCAGCAGGACTGTAAAACTGGCCTCCATTATGTGAGGTAAATACACTTTTCCTGTTTATTTCGGCTGTCAGTTTGACAGCTGAATCCACATTGGGGTTTTGGTGCAGGGGGATGTTAACCAGACTCTAGAGCATTTACCTAATTGCATTATCAATGTTGTTGTTGTTGTTGTTTTTTCCCCCCCTCATTGAAAGGGGTACAGTGCTCAACCAGTGCTCTGCTATTTTCTATGACAGCTAATAGAGTTGATTTACTGTATAGATGTGATTAGTGCCAACAGATCGCTCATTGAGTTTTTCCATCGCCAGGCTCTGCAACATAAATAAACGACTGCTACTGTTGCTATACTGCGGCCAGCAAATGACAGCTGCACATGCATTTAGTCTTCAAATGCAAAAGCAATGCAGTGGATGAATCGTTTTATTAACATTCACTGCTTTTAGGCCTCTCCAAGTTTGCTTAACATGATCACATACTTGCACATAAAGTTCTCGAGCCACCAGTGCTGCTGTAAAGTCAAATCAATAGATGAAAGTCTGTGGGGTTGTGAAATGGTATTTTCATCCTAGCGGCCCCGAATCTGCAGAGAGCTGTGGTATTCTCACCATACTGTACAGCTTTTTAACCCTGGCCAAGTTACCAGCTCAACGAATGCCAGGGAAGACCTCCTGAAGGGGAAATATTAGCAAAAGCAGCCGAAAGTTGTAGCCTGATATGATTGGTCACTATATAGAGGGATTGTAATTCCTGGTTTTAAATGGAACTGTGTAGAAATTTAAGCTAATCAACGAGGGGCCCAAATTTAGGATTATATCAAGCTTGTAGACTAGAGCTTTCTAACTAGGATTATTAAACTTGTACAGGGAAACAAAACTGTATTTACTATTTAAGTTCCTAGGCTGCCTGTTGGATTGTACAACTCACAACAATCATATTTTTGAAATGCATAGTTTTGTTAGATTTTTGTATGTTTTCAGAACCAGCTGTGGTTGGCTATTTTAAACAGTTTTTTCCTGTCTTTGTGGCTGGTTTGTGGCCAGAAGAAGACTGTAGACAAGACTTTATTCAATAGCTATGTTCGACCACTTTCTTACAATAATGTTGAGAGTTTAAGTCAGTATGTTCTTGCATGCATCATTTGGTTTCAAAATCTGAAGGGTTCCTTATTTTCCTCATACCTCAAAGAAGCAGGGCAAATTATGGCATTTTTCCCAACAGTATTGTACAGATGATCATTGGCGTTTTTCCTGATGGTTTTTCCTGTGGCAGATGGTGATGGAGAGCGGAGATTGGTTGGTCGGTGGTGATCTCCAGGTGCTGGATCGGATCTACTGGAATGACGGGCTGGATAGTTACAGGCTCACACCAACCGAACTTAAGCAGAAGTTTAAAGAGATGAATGCAGGTATGGAGCTACACTCAGGAGTTGCTACTTTTGACCTAAGTTTGACTAGTATGTTGTGAGGTAGAAGTCGTCTTGCCCTCAAACTGTAGCTGGTCACATAGACATACATTTTCTTGAATGGAATTTAGTTGTATTGTCATAGACTTGCATTCATCCATATATTGCTGCAATACAATTATATATATATATATATATATATATATATATATATATATATATATATATATATGTCAAGTTATGAAATATAAAACACTCTTCTCTCATTTTTAGATGCCGTCTTTGCCTTCCAACTGCGGAACCCAGTGCATAATGGCCATGCGCTGCTCATGCAGGACACGCAGCGGCGTCTAATTGAACGTGGCTATCGTCGACCCGTGCTTCTGCTTCACCCACTGGGCGGCTGGACCAAAGATGATGACGTGCCACTGGCCTGGCGCATGAAACAGCATGCGGCTGTCCTGGAGGAGGGACTGCTTGACCCCAAATCCACCATAGTGGCCATTTTCCCTTCACCAATGATGTACGCCGGCCCAACAGAGGTTAGTGTAAAATGAAAAAGAACCGAGAACAGATACCTGAGGCACCCATTAAAATAATAACTTAAGGTCAGCTGGTCATTATATTTTTTTCCATATTCTTGCTTTAAGTGGAGATTTTTGAACATCTAGTCATCTAATAAAGATATGATGTTCACCATATATAAAAAAATTAAAACTGAAATCCCCCCAAGACCATTTTTAATGCAGCTGGTAGCTCCTCATTTTGAAACACCAGATTCAAATTAGCCTTGTAGCTTTTGAGATCTTTCTCAATATGTAATTCTTAAAGTATCCCATACTTGCATACTTCAGGAATTACAAATTGTTTGATATATGCAATATTTTAAAGAAAGAAGCTCTATCAAATGCACTTTGTACTATGAATGATAATTAAAACGGCATTTGAAGCCAATGAAGTGTTGTATGGAAAGTTAGTGGTGAGGAAGCTTGCACAGGGCACATTCCTCCATGAAACTTCGGTGGTGCACTGGATTTCTGATCTGTTCCACCTATTTTGTGCTTGAGGCTGAAGACAACAGGGGCAGGCTCTTCTTGTGGGCATCACACATCGCTGGACTTTCCAGTAGGAATTGATTTGTGTCTCCAAGAGTGATGTAAACAGAACCAAATTGTTTAGAAGCCAGTGGCGTCTACAGTCCATACACACACACACACACACACAGCAAGCACAAATGGGGAGCTTTCTTCTGACAAAACTTGTTCCTGGTGTAGTGTTCCATGGCTATTTTGAAGTCTCTTGTTCTTTAATCATGTGGCCGGGGACATTAAAAATTTATTGGGAGCAGACAGAGTCTTAAGACTAAAGCAGCCCACAGGAAGCACTCGTTCACCTCATTGACTTATGAGGAGGAAGTAGGGGACACGCTGACTCCACAGAAAAGGATTAGCTTAGGTGATGTAGGCCAATTCTAATCTTACGTCCATAATAAGAGATGTTTTCATTTATTTTGAAATGATACATTTTGACTTTTTTATTTTTATTGTCGCTATCTCTGTGCCATTAAACAAAATTCACATTTGCATTTGGTTTAAATTATCATCGTTCTTCCAATTTTAAGCATAGGATTGTTAATCAGAAATTGAAATCTGTCACCCTCTATCTATTCACACTCATGTTATTCCAACCATTCTTTCATTTGTGAATAACATAAAAGAAAAGAAAAAAGTTCAGCACAGATTGTCCCAGATGTTTTTTTCTATGTCTCTCTGTTTGACTTGTACGTCTTCTAAAATCACATAGCCGTTTTGTCTCAAAAACCAAAATTGAAGTTAGACACTTAAAATCTTCCTGTTGTGGCTGCTCTCAAATCTTATTCGCATGCATTTGGTTGCGAGAACATTTTGTTATGCCATATTCAAATATACACAAATGTGAATGACATTTTAGAGCAATAACAGAGGGAAAGATTTTAAGCAAATAATGGTTTAAATTTGGCCTTTTTCTCACATAAAGCTCAACAACAACTCCAATTCTCATTCATAAGTCAACTGCTTGGACTAACTCTTAGTTAGATTTGTTTTAAAGTAAAAATAAAATACATTTGAACTGCTTCCAACAGGTGCAGTGGCACTGTAGGGCCCGGATGGTGGCTGGGGCCAACTTTTACATAGTGGGCCGTGACCCCGCAGGAATGCCTCACCCAGACACAGGTAAAGACCTCTACGAGCCCTCCCACGGGGCTAAAGTTCTCACCATGGCCCCTGGACTCATATCTTTGGAAATTGTGCCTTTCAAAGTAGCAGCCTACAATAAAGCCAAGAAGGCCATGGATTTTTATGACCCCAAAAAGTAAGTTTGTCTTTTTTTCCTCTTTAGATTTGCCTTCCTGTCTATTAAAACAAACTAACTATACAAATTGAGTAAGACAAGTATCTTTAAGCAACTAATTTCATCAAATTTGAGACTTGGGCATATTGAAAGTTGTGGTAAATTGAAACCAACCGCTGAAGGCATGAATTTACTTCATAAACATTTATCTTCTGTACATGTTCAAGCAATCTATCACTGTACAAACTTCCCTCCATGTCAGGCTTCCTCGATTCCTAGCTGCGTTGCCAAGAATAACAGGAAATGTTTTGTTGTTGTGTGCTTTCACCAAATTCTACGGCTTTGCTCCATTCTTTGAAGTCATTTAGAAGCGGAGATCTGCCATTATTCCTCTGGCGCTGTGCAAATGCTGCAGAAGATGACTAACGAAAATCATGCGTTTTCGCTGTGTCTCGTCTTGCAATTAATAGCGCCCACTGCTATCGAGTTAACAGGCTTTTCAGTCGTTGTTACAATTGGATGAAAGATGACGTGTAAATTGAAAATTGCCCTACTTGCCTTAAAGAGCTTTTATTGAAACTGTTACATTTACAGCATTGTTCTGGCTTTAATGCATGCTGAGCTCTATTGACAGCATTTATGACATATATTGTCAACAGAAGTACAACAAAAAAATACATTTTGACTTTTTCTTATTTTTTTTAAACTGCAAAAGCCAGTAACATCTGTAAAGCTGATATGTTTTGCACAATATGTGCAAGAATAAAGGACTTTTTGCATAGAGAAATATCAAAACAAAAGACCTAGAAGAGTAGACCCACTGCAAAACTAAATAATGTATTTATTAGTGCTGTCAAACGATTAATCGCATCCAAAATAAAAGTTTTTGTTTGCATAATATATGTGTGTGTTCTGTGTATATTTATTATGCATATATAAATACAAACACATACAGTATATATATTTTGAAAATATTTACATGTCTATATTTACATTCATATAATTTAATAAATATATTAAATAAATATATTTAATATATAAAAATTAAATATTTGTCTGAAATATATGCATGTGTGTGTATTTGTATATACATAATAAATATACATAGTACACACACATATATTATGTAAACAAAAACTTTTATTTTGGATGCGATTAATCACGATTAATCGTTTGACAGCACTAGTATTTATGAATATAAATATGCAAAAATACATTGCAAGTACACTAATGTAAACTTTTTTTTGCCTTACCATAAAATCATTCCAACCTGCCACAAATGCTGTTGATAGAGCTTAATGTGCTGAGCAATGAACAATTCTTGTAGCCAAAATGTGTGCCTGGATGGGACTGTATACGGTTATTGTACCAGGTTATATGTGACGGTTGATATCATTAGAAAAAACCCTATTGTTTTATTCAACGATTATTCAACTAGGTGTGGTGACAACAGTATATCCTCCTTTGTGTTCGTTTTGGCAACATTTTATTCTAAAATCTGGACAATTGTTTAAGGAATTTGCTTGCAAAGCAGCAAAACAATTTAAATCTGTGAGGTTGTTTTTTGAAGTTACTGGCATTACTTTAATAGCATCTGTCTAGTCTGTAACATTTCTAGCCATAGTGTTTTGATATTCCTTTGTTTGAATAGTGTTTTGTTGAACAAAATTATTTAGCTTTATCTTTAGGTGCATTTTTTGTAGTATTTATTTTTATGACTTTTTGTGTTATATTAGAATAGAAAGATTATCATGTAGACGTTCTTCAGTTTACAATTCATAGTTGTCCTGTTTATTTTTAACAGCATTGTCCTTATTACCTCAGTGTCTTTAATAAACTATTCCACCAAAAAAAATCACAAATATCAGCTTCATTGATATTAAAAGTCTGCACTCGTCGAAAAAATGAGAAGACATGAAACTCCCTGATCATAACGTACATTTTCCCCAGTTCCAGTAGTTAAACAGTGCCGTGTGCAACTCCTGTACAAGGTCAATAAAATATATCAGAAAATACATGCAGAGAGCCAGCTGGCCTCCAGATGCAGTTGCGCCCCTGTGAAAGTGGGACACCTAGGGTTAATCCAGACCCTTTCAGGAATTCCCTGCCCTCTCCTTTGATTCCAGCTTGGAGATTAAACGTCCAAATGTGCCAGCCGTCATGTTTTTCTCCATATGTCCTCTGCCAGATCTTGTTCGATCTGTGATCCGCATCGAGTGGGGCCTTCAACATGAGTGAATAGCACTTCAATATGAAGATGACGTGAACGTTTGCCTGGGTATAAAGTTACGTTTTCCCCTTTTCATCTGTTTACCTATATTCCTATGGGATCACTTGAATTATTTCGATTGAGACACAAGACTAGCCTTATATCTTTATTAAATGTGCCAGAACAATTTCAATACAAAGGGTGCTCAACTTGTAGCATTCAGTCAATCACATAACTGTGTATGTGTATGATAAATGATGCTTGTAAATGTTTCTGCCAACTGTTTTTTTTTTCCTTCAGCAGTGTCTTTTAACACAGGCTTTATTAATACTGACAGACAGGGAAGCGGCTTTTTGTACCACCTGGTTCGAGCCTCGGCCCGTTTGACCTTCTCTCCAGTGCTGAAAATGCAAACCACCATAAAGGTAAATGCATCAAATCATGTGGAAATCATTACAATGTCCTTAACATGTAAAGATGGGTTAGTGAAGTTATTTTGAAAGGGGATGGGGAACGAATTATTGCGGTCCAAATATTTGTTGTTGACGATAGACATCTTTGTCAGAACAGCATGTGTTTTCCTGACAAATAAATATACGTTAGAGTTTATTTCTAAGCATACAAACTCCAGACTCTTGGATCGTTCAGCAGACAGTTAATGTCTTTTTAATATCTCAAAGCGTTCCAGCTCATAGGTTTTGACCTTCTTGACTGCATCTGACAATGTAAATCATACAACAGTCAAAAATGTTCAATATGAATTGATACGAAGTTCATTAGAGAACAAAAATAATTATTCAAACGACTAATTACTACCAAATTCATATTTTGCACACAACCACATTTTCCCCTCTTAAAAAAATTAAACATTTTATAAAATTGTGACACCCGTGAAGTTACATCATTGTGGCGGGAAGACAAGTTGGAAATCCGATTCGATTTTCATTGTAGTCTTGACTGTAGATGTCAAGCTCAACCATTTAACAGTCAACATCATTGTAAGAAAAAATTAGACTTTTTAGCTTTACTTTATACAATATTCTAGCAATGCCAAGGTTATGGGTTCAATTCCCAGTAAATGCATGATTTAACAAATTGGATACCTGCGCACCTTGTTTCTCGGAATCTGTGTTGAGAAAGAACCAACATTTTTCCTGAAACGTTCAAGTCCCATTTTGCACCCATGTGTGGAAAGTGCCCAATAACTTGCACGCATTGCTGCACATCCTCCATGACTAATTAGTGTCACCACTCCATCATGTGACATCATCGGCTGTACCGGTAGATTAAACTGTTACATGAAGCCCGGCCACATTTCCCCTGCATCTGCTTTTACTTCCATTCAAAGCCGTCCATGACAAAATCTGCCTCCCATAAAAGTACAATGAAGCTGGGCTGTTATCTTTAACTGCAAGTAAAACTAAAACTATTAAAAACCTTTCTTGGTCATTGAAATTAATCTGAAATCAAATAAAAAGCTTAAACTAAACAAAATGTAAAAATTGGAGTTACCTTGGCAACTAACTAAAAAAATTCAAAGGTATATTTTAAACAAGTTTAAAGCAAAAGAAGATATTTTGAAAAATGTTGGTACCAATCAGCTATGGACTTCCATAGAATGAAAGAAAATACAATGGCTACTGGCAACTGTTTGGTTACCAACATTCTTCAAAATATCTTTGTTTGTGTTCAAGAGAAGAAAGAATTTCAGAGATTTGGAACAACTTGAGGGTGAGTAAATGATGTCTCTTCATTTTTGATGTCTCTTTAAGTAACAAACCTGAACTAAAACTAAATCTGAAATAACATAAATTGTACCTGAATAGTAATGTTGAGGAAAAAAAAAACTATAATGGTGTATAAATAATACTAAAACAACTTCCCACTTTACTAGACACATATTACAAGTTCTATACCGATTAGCTGTTAAATTCCTCCTCCAATATTACCTGTATTTTTCTCAGGTGCTTTACATTTGTGATGAAATGAGAATGTTTGCGGACATTCCCATGTGATTTTCATAGCTTATGTAAATATTTGCTTGGTTCCACATGTTTTTTCCTGCGATGTCTGATACTTGAGACGTCAGTCACAAACATTCATGATTTTCATTGACTGCATCCTTTTCCTTTTAATCTGCTTTCATCCGGTTTGGCATATCTACAGATATTAAAATCTGAGATATAGGGCATTACCTCAGATGTGAGGGTTTTGAAATGAAGAGATCACATGGATAGAGGGGTCTCATACATCAAATGCTACAGCCTGGCATGTTCACATCAAAGAGACGCATCTGTTTCATGACATGATGAGGACCCAGTCCCATGAGGCAGCGAGGAGGAGGACATGACAGTCCTCATCTTGTCCTCGTTTACCGTCTGAGTGTCTTCACACTGTATGGCAGCGCTCCATCCTCACGCCCTCCTACCTGGGTAAGTGAAAGTGATCTTTGTCATTACGAAAGACTCCGTCGTCTCAGTATTAAACGGCACGCCTAAAGGCTGTTCACAAACCATATAATGCATTTTGTATGTTTAAATGACAGGAGCTGTTCAAATCTGCCATTTCCAGGAAAGAAATGGTAAGTAAACAAGATTTTCTCAATAAAAAAATAAAATGTTTGTATATATTTATATATAGACACTCACAGTATATATATATATATATATATATATATATATATAACTGAAGTCTTTGTATAAATAAACATTGGCACTATGTCCCGACAGAATGATGAGGTTCATTTGAATAATATTTCTCTTTTAAGGTTTCACAGCTGTGTCTGTATCTTAATACTGCTATATATTCAAAATCCGTCAACGTGAAAGTCAGTCTATCTTAAAAGTCCTCTTTCTATATTTCATCTGCTACAAGTTAAACAAGGCCACAAAAAAAATTGTATTGTGTGTGTGTTTATATGTGTGTGTTTTAATCATTTTAAGTAATTGCTTATATTTCCAGCATCATGAGCCATCACATACATTTAAGAGAATTCCCTCCCCCCCCTTTTTAGTGGGTCCTAGTAGCTAGTATGTATGCATTTATTCATTCATTCATTCATTTTTGTCAGCACTACAATTTTCTATCTGTGATGACATTTCAATATATGGACCTGAAGATTAATTAATTTAATTTAATTTAATTTTTAATTTCATTTATGTATTTCTTAAGTATTTTTTCTTTATGTAAGATTTTTAAAGTATTATTGCTATAATGCCTAAAATATTATTGCTTATGCTATAAAACTATAACAAACACTTTAATTTAGTAAAATATTGCAATGTAAAATCATTTTGTATTGTAATATTATTAAAATTTTCAGCATCATTACTCCAGTCTTCAGTGTCACATGATCATTCAGAAATCATTCCAATATGCTGATTTGCTGCTCAAGAAACATTTCTTATTATTATCAATGAATTGAAAGTTCAAAAGAACAGCTTTTATTTTAAATCAAAATCTTTTTTAAGATTATAAATGACTTCACTGTTGTTTTTCATCAATATAATGTGTCCTTTCTGAAAAAAGTATACATTTTTAATAATGAACTTATTTTGAATTATTAATATTTTTCAGTCTTGTATCCTGAATTATTCATTCGCTTGGTATTGCCAAATTGTTCTTTTTACTCCTAATAAACAGTCAATTTTATTAGGTGGTGAATCTCTAGTTCTGTTGCATTTACGCACATTTACTGCTCATTTTCGTAAGCGGTATCGCCCACTCAAATTGCTGACTCTCATTAAAATTGACTTCCAGACCATTTTCTGCTTCAAATCACTCTCAGTGAATGCATCTTTTGTGTTAGCACTAACTTCAGCTTTACAAGTCACTCAAATGGCCTCCTCATGTTTAAGTGATTGTCATGCCTAGAAAAAGCAACAATATGCACCAGACTTGATGCTGATAGTTTGATTTTCTTGTGTCTGCATGTGTGTTTCTCAGGTAATGCGCTGCACCCAGTCATGATATTTGCGACGGGGAAGTTGGAGTGACTCTCTGTCTGATTGAAAGCTGTCAGCACATCTTCGTGCCTTTTGGCCACAATGAGTTGATGACGAAGGTAACACTGATGCTATCATCTGCTGTATGCTTTATAGGTCAAAACGATGCATTAATAAGACATTAGCGTTCACTGACACGCTACTGTATTCAAATGCAATGGCTTGTGTGGAGCTGCCGCTTGCGTCAGCGCCATCTGAATGAGTCCTGATGCTGCGCTGTTCTCCTTTTATCTGCTCTTCCTCAATCAGGAGACAGAGATGCTATCAGTGAGAAGAGAAACATGCACTAATCCCGGAGTTTATTTATTCATCGCTAGCAGTCACAGACCACCCTTCAGGGGGTACCGGTACCCAGAGGCGGCCAGTAACTAAGTACATTTACTTAAGTATTGTACTTAAGTACACTTTTTGAGTATCGGTACTTTACTCGAGTATTATTTTTTCTGGAAAACCGTACATTTACATAAATTGTGCATGAATTCTGTGTATGAACATTTTCATGAAAAAAAATATCATGATTCATCAATAACGTTCATGCTAAATTATTTTCAAAATTTACGAAAAAATTTTAGGAATAACTGAAACCACACATAAGCAAAACACACATACTCTGGATAGTCTTATAAATGTGTTAAGACGGATCCCCCAGCAGTGGTGTTGCTGCCCTCCTGGTTTAATCCTGAGCCAGTTTTCAGAGTTTAGTGGAATGCAAATTGGCTTTATATCGGACAGATTTAATTAGAAGTGACTGTGGAAGAGACAAAGACATATTTAGCTTTGGAATCTTATTCGTGATTATCACGCTCTTGGAGGACAGTCAGAGCCATTAGTTCCCCCTCCCCGTGTCGCCTCCTGACATTTTAATTTCCCTCGGCCACATCCTGACTAGCCAAGGGAAGAGATCTATTCAGATTTGTCCTCAAATAATTTGGCTCCAGTCGAGCTTATTGTGTATAGATGTGCTTTGGTACAGCATCCATAATTTCACACCAGTTTTTTCTGTTTATTATGCAGTTGGATAAATATACAAGTCACTTTAGTTGTTGTATCAGCAGATTTCAAAGCTTGTAATTTTATTCTTTGTTTGTACGTTATTAAAAAACCAATAAGCAAGCCCAGGCCAGGTGATAAAAGTAACGCAAAAGGAAAATAATGCATTACTTTTCATATAGAGTATCACAATTAGTTACTTTATGGATTAATGCAGTTTTGTAATTCATTACTTTAAAAAGTAACTTTCCCCAACACGGTTTATAATATCTTTTGTGTTCCACAAAAGAAAGAAAATAATACAGGTTTGGAATGACACGAGAGTGAGTAAATGTTGACAAAATGTAAATTTTTCAGTGATCTATCGCAAATATGCGATGATCCAAAAATTCGGTGATCCAAATAAAATATAAATGGGATAACAAGCATAACTCAGATCATTTGATCTTGGATGGATATGATGAGAAATCGGAGAATACTCTCCATGATGCTCTGTCTTTTGAGCCTCTACTGTTATACCTGGTACCATAGTCCAATGTGTATTTGTTCCACTCTTTGTGTGAACAATATAGTTTTTATTTTTCAGATTAATAGTTGTATGCATCATCTAGCTTCTGAATGGTGTCAAAATTATGCCTCCTGCCAGGAAACTTGGTGAAATTCTACAGCTGGCTCACAGTCGAATTCAGTTGTCGTCATATATTATTTTGTACAACTACTTGACTTTCAATTACTGAAAACAGCACCAACTCTAGCGTTATGCCTCAAAAAGTTATGCCTCAAAAAGTAAAGCTGGTGTTCAGCTTAGTGGTCTTTTAAAGGAATTTCAGAGAGGCTAGCATAGCAATCTAGCTTTGAAAGCATAAGATCCCACCCTCCCTGCAAATCACTCTCCAAAGCCACGCCTCCTCCAAAACACATGACCGCGCACAGGCAGACCAGAGGCTAACCAGAGAAATCAAATCACCTACCCTGCCTTTAATAAACTGAATTTTAAGACAGATATTATTAAATATTTATTTCTATCATGACAACTCTATGAAAATTTTAGCATGGTATTGGATATGACAATGGTAATGTATTTGGTCTTGGCGGAATAGATCTGCTGCTGCTGTTGGTTATTGCTGTAGTTGTAGAATATTGTTGCTGCTGCAAGCAAGTACAGGAACTTGCTACTGCCAATGCATATGGTGATACAGTGCTGTGAGTATTTAAGACACACTGCTGCTGCTAAAATAGCATATAAAATAACCCATAGCAGATTTATACAGGTGGAGCTAGGGAAGGTGGAGGCTTCCAGAGGAACTCTGCAAAATGCTCAAGTGGATGCTAACCTGCCATTTAAATGTAAAGCAGCAAGCTTAATGGCCTGGTACAACATGAACCAATCAGCTTGTGCCAAGTCGTTTAACGCTGTGAATATCATGTTACGTTAAGAACCCATAAGCCTGCGCCATCTAGAGTTTCGTGAAAGAACTTATCTAATGCGTTCTGTTTTTTAATACAGTCAATTATTGTGCTTAATTGTTTGTGTTCCAACATGAGTATTTTATTCAGTTTACTAAAAGGCAATAATACAAGCATATTCACTTTCTGTTTACTGACATGCATTTAGATAAAATGTTTAGTTTAAAGTGTGAGGCCCTCCGAGACAGGCCTGAAGACAGATTGAAGAAGGGAATTTTACCGAGAAGTGTGTCCAGCTGCCTAAATGACAGATATTTTTCTGTACATCGGAATGTCCATTTTTTTCACTTTCTGAAGACAAAATTCCAGCGAAGTGGCCAAGACCTCTCGGCCGTATGAATATGAACAGAAACACGTCCTGTATGCGTGATGCATCAGCCCTCAACGGCTCCCTAGAGACATTTTCTATCTACATCCCGAATCAAGGTAACAAATGTGTTTCTGTATCACGACTATGGTTCTCTGCCAAATGCATTCGAATCAACGTTTTATTTGCGTCATGTTTTTGGTGGAGTGGGACAAAACAATTAAATGGTCTTTCGGACCTCCATGAAGTGGAACATCTGTGATGTAAACACTCTGTCCCACTGAATCACTCTTATTATAAGGGGACATTGCCATCTTGCCTTTCGTAAGCGCTCCGTTACTGTTATATCCCACCAGGAGTGGGTTATTTATGTGAGAAATTGCTGTGGTATTATTGACACTATCCCCTTCTGTGTATTTGTGGGAGTCTGGATTCCACCTCTGCTCATTTACACCTAATCATTCTTTAGTGTGAAAATCAGGCAAGATGGAAAGGCAGATGGAATATATTAAAAATATATATATATACACACACACACACTGAGTGGCTTACTAATGCTTGTCAGAATGACAGTGGGCAATAGCCATGCACATGGATTTCATTTGTGAAGCTTAGAGTCAACATGATTTCTACATGATTTTTGACTTCTTTCAAACTTCCATTTTTGTTTTTATGCCAGTGAATTTTGTGGCATCTAATTTTTCCTGATACACTTTTGAGGACTGTCCTAAGAAATTTTCAGTAAGTCAAGGTATGTAAAAAAGATAAAAATGCATTATATAGCCGTAATTTGAAATGCTGTTCACCTACAATGTAAAAAATTATGTATTTATTTATTTGAAGTTGTAGAGAAAACATTATTGGATTATGTTTTACATAAAATAGCCTACTATTTCTGTCTTTGTACTTCAAAATGTGCAAATATGTTTAATTCATATTTTTGAAATTTACTAGCACTTCTGAGTAGAAATTGTTTCTACACAAATGTATGCACTGAGCTCATATATACCCTAATGTAGCTACTTGTCATCTTCTGGCTGGAAAAATGATGTGGATGAATAAATAATTGCTTATGTTGTGCACTTAGTATTTTTATTAGTACAAGGTAGTAACCAGTAGGCTAATATAAATTCTAAATATAGGCCTATTACACGCATCTGAAAATACTTGATTCTGATTGGCCAATCGCGGCATCCAGCGGTGAGATATTTTTAATATTCGCAGTCATCCATAGCAGCTGTATACATAGCAATATATAATAATAATAATAATTTGTTGGATTTATATAGCGCTTTTCTAGGCACTCAAAGCGCTTTACATTGTCAGGGGGTATCTCCTCGTCCACCACCAGTGTGCAGCATCCACCTGGATGATGCGACGGCAGCCATAGTGCGCCAGAACGCCCACCACACACCAGCTTATTGGTGGAGAGGAGACAGAGTGATGAAGCCAATTAACAGATATGGGGATTGTTAGGAGGCCATGATGGTCTGAGGCCAATGGGCAAATTTGGCCAGGATGCCGAGGTCACACCTCTACTCTTTTCGAAAGACATCCTGGGATTTTTAATGACCACAGAGAGCCAGGACCTCGGTTTAACGTCTCATCCGAAGGACGGTGCTTGTTGACAGTATAGTGTCCCCATCACTATACTGGGGCGTTAGGATCCACACAGACCACAGGGTGCGCACCCCCTGCTGGCCTCACTAACACCTCTTCCAGCAGCAACCTAGTTTTCCCAGGAGGTCTCCCATCCAGGTACTGACCAGGCTCAGCCCTGCTTAGCTTCAGTGGGCTACCAGTCTTGGGCTACAGGGTGATATGGCGGCCTCATATAGCAAAATATCAGTTTGCTTGTTTCAATAACTGAAACTGGCGCTACTTTTATATTTCTCCTGTCAGATCGTGGACTCGCGCTTTTATTTAATACAATCGCAACTGGCGCCATCTTGTGTCTCACGCTTTGATTGTAGCGATAATCACCTCAGATGACTTCAGGTATTTTGAATACATACAGTAGCCTGTATTACTGTATTTTGTTGCACTGTTGGTCTTGTTGCCAGGCCAAATGTTTTGTACGATATAATGGACTTTTTTTTCCTTAGCGGAAGCTTTATAATAATATGCAGGTTAGATTATGATTTCAACTCCAATCATTTGGATAAATGCGATTAGTCTGTGAAATATCATTTTACTCCATCTAAAACTCAATAGAATGAGCTCTGGACTCGTGCCAGTATAGGTTTTCCTTTAATGACATGAGGAAGTGGCTGTTGAATAGACTTGCAATGTACTTTGGGTTTGCTTACGGTATTACAGACTTCTATGAAGCCCTTTGAACTGAAAATAAAGAAGTGTTTCCTCACTATTCAGACAAATTACATTTGATCTGGGCTGTTTCCTTTCTTTTCAAATCCCTTTTAAGTTGTCTGTTGAGTGCGAGAAGGCAAAAGTGACTTTCTTGGCTGAGCTGAAAGGCCAAAAACATATAGGGCTAATAATCATACAAAGGCCCAGCTGGTGGTTTTGACTAACTTTCTTAACGTATATGGTGACTGAATAGACTGTTTTAAAGTGTTAGTTCACCCAACATTAAGCAAAATGTGCTCTTTTTATGTCAATAGAACAAAAAGCACCATAATTACTGAAAATGTTCATTGACATTCATGTTCATGTTATGCTAGTTTGGATGTCAATCATACACCATTCCTTGAAAACCTTGCACCAAACTTGAAAACCTATAGCAGGTTTTCAGTGAATAATTAGCATTTTAGTCTGTTCCTCACACAAAGCTATTGTATGGCTTCAGAAGATTTCCGATACATCTTTATTTTGTGTTTTTAGGATGTTAATTAAGATTGTTAATTTAACCAGATTTAAATCATTTTAAGACTTTTTTGCAGCCCCCTGGTTGAGAACCACTGGTTTTTATGTTGCTGTTTTACCCGTTTTTTTGAAGATAGTATATGCTTCTCTTTTAACGTCCATTTTTGTGTTCTTAAAATAAGTCATATAGGTTTGGACCAACATGTTGGAACTACTTGCCACTCTTGCAAAATTTCCCCTTTTTCTTTAGAAAAATGAACTTTTTGTGTTCTCGAGCCTAATCAAATCCAGATAAACACAAAGTTTAAAAGAAAGTAAAAAAAAAAAGAAAAGTAAATTCCTCTTATCTCCCCTGCTTCTCCCAGAGTGTTAAAAGCTGTTGCAACATTTAGTCCAACACATGGTTACAATGTACTATGCACCATCACATACTATTTAAATGTCTCAGTATATGGTTTTACTCTTCCGTCAAGTGCATTTGAGTCTCAATGTATGAATATGTGTTCCAATTTACTGCGTTGCTAATGAAAATGTGCTAATTTAGTGTTTAGTTCATACTCAAACCCAGCCCGGGGGTCAGAGCAGAGACTGCAGGCTTCCCTGTAGAGAAGCCAAACTTCATTAGACACTGTGTATTTATGTTTCAGTTTATTAAATGGTGGTTTGAGTATTTTAGTGATGGTACGCTTGCTCATCACTCTTGGTGTCCAAGAACAAGAATGATGGATTTTGATAAGATATTCTTAATTCCGTTTGGAACGTCTTCATGCTTGTTTAAACCCAAACTATTCGTCCAAACATTTGTCAATGACCTATGGTGAAAAGCGGGTCAGAACAGGAGTAGCTGTTATGGCAGTTAGATGCTTGTGGTATGGCAAAGTATGGAACTTCTTTTTAATGTTACCCACAATTCTTCCTTTTACACCCAGAAGGTCTTCTGGAATCAATTGTCGCGTCAACAGTGTGTCAGCACTCCTGAAAAGTTGTCATCTGACCAAAACTAAGGCTTCTATGCTAGTTCAGCAGTTTGTATTCGGTAGAAAATGTCACCCAAGGCAAAATCACAGCCAACATAGTAGCTCTGTTTCATAACGTAGTGAGCTGCCTCACAATTCACTGACAGGCAGCTGTCTTTTAAGGGTGACTTTGAATGCAGTTCGATTTATTCTTTAATGGTTTCCTTGACAGAATCATGAAAAATATATAATTCAAATAAATGTTTTTCTATATAAACCTTCTATTCATGAAAGTATCCCGACAAAAATGTTTCATGGTTTCAACAGAAATATTAAGCAGCACAACAGTTTTCAAAATTTATAATAAGAAGTAATGTTTTTGAGCAGCAAATCAGCATTTCAGAATGATTTCTGAAGGGTCATGTGACACTGAAGACTGGAGTAATGATGCTTTGCATCACAGGAATAAATTACATATTAAAATAGAAATATAAAACAGTTATTTTAAATTGTAAAAACATTTCAGAATATTACTTTTATCACTGTATGTTTTATCAAATAAATGCAGATTTCTGACCCCAATCTTTTGAGCGGTAGTGTATGTTTATGAAATATATCAGTATATTTACCCATTTTGGATAATGACTGCAGTGCATGTTGGGATTTCTCTAATTGGAATGTTCCTTGATGATGGATGCATGCAACACTATCTCAGAATTGAACCAAAACTAGGTAACTTTTAGGGTATCTACCGTTCGAAGCAGTCTTGAATTCAGGACCGTGCTATGATTTTGTCCAGATAGTTTGCTTTATTTTATAACACAGTTCAAATTCTCTAAAAAATCTTGAATGCTGTCTTTAAAACGACTTTATCATGCAGGACTTCATGGCATCTTATCATGCCAGCTGGGCATGAAAGTGCTGGCTGAAATGGACACTGGTAGTCAGTACACAGGGTGCCCGGTCCCTGCCTGCTGCAATTTCTACATCTCATGTTTAGGGACAATGAGCCATTGTGTGGCAGTTATTCAATCCTGTGCAGCTTGCGAGCTTTGACAGTGAGTGATCACATAAAATGATGTCACTGCAAATGCTTGTAAGCCAAGTACAAAGGAGCACCTAGATACTGATCTGTGGCCAGATTAATGTGAGGGAACACTGAAGAGTTCAGAGGAAGTCTGTAACAAGTCACAAGTGCGTTGATTTTACAGAATAAGGCAATGTTGGCCCTTTAAAAGATACATGGATTGGAAGACTGCTGTTCTGCCATGATTTTGCCATGAAGAAGTTCTTTTGACTCCCAGGATCCACAGAACTTAGAATGCCTGCTTTCCAAAAAGTTCTACAAATCCCATGACCCTTGTGTCTTCATTTATTGACTATTAGGCTAATTGATTATGTTTTCAGCTACAAATAAGAGTGTTTACACAAAAAATATGTTGTAATCCACCTTATGTTTTTTTAACTTTCATTGTATGGGGAAAAAAAGAGTTCAAAATGTTGTTTATCTTTCTGAAAGAAAGTCATGCATGTTTGGAACACTCTAACAAAATGAAAGTTCTTTATTGGCATCTATGGTTCCATGAGGGACCATTAAAGGGATAGTTCACCCAAAAATGAAAATTTGATGTATATCTGCTTACCCCCAGGGCATCCAAGATGTAGGTGACTTTTGGCACTTTTCCACTGCATGGTACGGCACGGTACGATTCACTTTTGGGGGGGTTTCCACTGGGTACAGTACCTGGTACTTTTTTTTAGTACCACCTCGGTTGAGGTTCCAAGTGAACCGTACCCTTACCAAAACATGAACCGTACCGTGCATTTGCAGACCTTTACTAGCAGAACAGAACACAAACAACAATGCCCCTGTGTCTAATTTACATTTAAAGATCTGTTTGTCTATCATTAAAACCCTATTCCTGACTAACCCAATCAGAAGTGTACACTGCTATAATTACACAACAATAATTGCACTCAAGTATATTGTGTTCTGTTGCGTTTCAGCATGCTATTAACATACCGACACGATAGCATTGCTGTTTTATGGTTGACTGGACTGATTTAGTGGAATATTTGTAAAGTCACGGTTTATCATGAGAGCGGTTTGGGGCACATTGTGAATCTAAATAGATGAACTGGCTCCAAGTTGCAATTCCTGGGATCGGTCATGTCCTGTGTAGAACTTTTATTTAGATATACAGCCATATAGATAATACAAGATGGAATACTATTAACATTTTAAAATTTAAGGAAAATTTTAAATGAAGCGCTTCTTCAAGAGTGACTGCTGTGTTGATGGTGATCTGGGAATTTAAACTTCAACATGAAATCCAAATTGATTTCTTAAAGTAAAATGGGTTAAGAATACTATTTCAGGTTGACATCGTCATTTTTCATATGCAGATGTTTTTGGTTACTGAAAAAGGCGTATTTGTAAAAATGTACACAAAAGCAACTCCGCATATTAGAATGATTTCTAAAGGATCATGTGACGCTAAAGACTGGAGTATGATGCTAGTACTATGAGGCCAATAGTAGCTTCTTCAGGGGCTTTTCTTAAAATCCAAGACCATATGGATAAGATATAAATGTAGAACTCACTGATGCCTGTGAACACTTTTAAAATATGCAGCGCTGAAATCAAGCTGTGTGTAACTCCAGGAAAAACCCCACTTTATGAATTCAAGGTCTTTTAGGATAACTCATCAAATATTTCTCAATATCTGGCACTCAAGGTGACTTGCTTCTCACTAAGCCTTCAAAGCCTGAGGCGTAGTCATATTAACCCAGATCAGACTGCTTGGGTTTGAGTCAGAGACTATGCCTTTAAGGCTGTAATTTAACAGCAGCTTCCCTTCATGTGGTTAAAGAGCGGTCACTGTTATCAATTAAAAAATCTGAGTCATTAAGATGTCAAGAAGCAGCATTCATGCTTCGACCGTTTTGTGACTTTTAGGGAAATGGCCCAACCCATCTTCCGGAAAAAAAGGGGACAGTGTAGGAGAGGTTATCACCCACCATTCCAGAGAAAAATTCCACCACCAAGACTTCCTGGAATTTAGGGATTTTAAGGAATAAGCTCTCTGAATCATTTTTTAAAAAATGTATAATTATTTTCTATTTTCTGTCTAAATCTCTGCCCAAAATAATTATTTCAAAATTATTACGAAAATAAGAAAAACGTTGACTGTTTGAGACATGAATAATACATTGCTGATTATTTAGTGATTTAAGCATTTGTTTATGGAATGCAAATCATGGCCTCAGTTTTCCCTGTTGTTTTACTCTTGGCAAAAGATAAAACACTTCTTTTGCGTATTCACTTATCTAGAAAGCCATGACTTCTAGCAGAATTGTATGGGTAATTGATTTACAGAAATAAAACAAGTAACCACACGCACCTGTTTTTCATCATTTGTTGAAAAATACATTCGGGAAACAACATGGTTTGGGACAAAGGTTTTCAAAGGGGTCAGAATCTTAGAAACATTTTTCCGATGAAATGGATAAATGCGATAGCAAATTGTTTTGTTCTAATCATAATTCCATTTAACAAGACGCATGTTTTATGTGGCAGCGTTTTATTAATGTATAGACCTGTTTATACTGTATATTTGGCAGCACTGAGGTGGGTCTGAATTTCAGGTTTCATTTGTCATCTTGGGTTGTGCTTGAAAATGCTCACAGAGAAGGACCACATGGAATATATAAGAATGAAAAAGTTTTATTTTGGGTGGTTAGGCTTAGTGGTTAAATATCTGGGTGTGATACCCAAATGCTGCAGGTTCAAACCCTCAACAGGCTCATTCACAAGCTATAACTTTGAGTCCCTAAATAAGACCCATCAAAAACGACCCATCTATGCAAGCATGAAAAAAATAAAAGAATAAAGACATTTTGTTAAAATAATTTTTTGAGCAGTTATTTAGACCAACACAAAAATTGCAAATATAATAAATATTATAATAAAAAATAATAACCTGGGGATTTTTGTTAGCATCTTTATATTTTAAGTTTAATTTTGGATTAGTAGTTGGCCACTGAAAGGACAATTTTAAAAACACACAACCAGTTGCATCAGCATTTGAATGAATGAACATGCAGTAATGGCTATTGCACATCACCTAAATATTATTATTGATTATTCATAATGTGCTCTGCCCCTCAGTTTTTTAGATTGGTGCATGCTGAACAACATACTGCCAAATACTACCTACACACCAAAGTGTACACTCTTAAAAAAATAAAGGTTCTTTATTGGCATCTATGGTTTTGATTATTAAAATGTTCTTCACATTAAAAAAAAAAAAAAAAGGTTCTTTGGGGAACCAAAATTTGTTCTTCTATGACATCACATTGCCTTTTGGAATCTTTATTTTTTTTAAATGCAACTGTTTGTCAAATCGTTGTCCAGTGACCTCATGTTCTGTTTACATAGTAAGCATAGTGTACATACTATATACTGCAAAAATAGTAACAGTAGTATGTTAATTTAAACATAGCCGTTGTTTGTGCCCGTTATGGACACTGCAAAGAACACCAACAAATTGAAAATTTCAATGGAGTCTTTAAGTCTGTTAAGTTTCTTAGTACTATGCAAATGTTGACCTACAGTGTGTTTATGTTAAGCAAAATGAGAAATAAAATAAGCAGACGTGACTGCAGTTTTGACGCAGAGGACAGTAGATTCCGACATATGATCAGAGTGATGAGATAAGACACGCTTCATTGAAAGAACAGACGAGTGATGTTTCTCTAATATACCTCTCGCGGCATTATTTCTACTGGAATCAGTCCAGTCGGGACTCATGTTGATGTGAGATGTAACCAAGCTGAAGTTGGCACCTGGATATGGTGCCTGACATTTGAAATGGCTTAAGAACTTGTGGGCCACCGAATTTGAATGAAATTCAATGAAAACAACAACAGCTGATCTCTGCTGTAAATTTGTCTTTTGTTTGCTCTACTCAAGATGGCTTGAGACGATAAAGCCTTTGGACTGTAATGTTGTCCGTGCGCACAAAACATTACATCGTAGCGATCAAAGCTCGGTTGGCTTATTAACACTGCGGCGATGACAGAATTTCAGAACGCCACCCAGAGTTCTGTGTTAACCTCATTGAAAGCTTTATTTATTTTTCCACTGCTTATTCACCCTTGAACCTGTTAGTCACTTTCAAGTACCATATTTTCCACTCAGGCTACATTTTTACCAGTGAGGTTTTGTTTTCAGCACTATATAGTTTAGCTGCCAAAAACACCATCCCTATGATTTCATCATCATAAAGCATGACTGCATTACAGCATTACTATATTACCGTTCACTTACTTCCATGGTCCTTCTCCACATGCGATTTATTATTGTGGCCGTCTCATAATTTATATTTCCAAGATCAGCTGATTCATGGGTAAAAGTTCAAGCATGTCAGTTGTTTGAAATCAACATCCTGAATGTTGTTTTTATCCAAACCTTTGAGAAATGTGTTTCTCCTCTTTAGCAGACAGGTGTTCTCAAAAAATCCTGGCTTTAAACAACTGCTGAGAAACTCACAGATTCCATCTGGTCACTGGCAATGAATTTAAGCGAGGACTCATACTGACATTACGTAATTATATTTGCGGTTTATCATTATTATCGTTTGCTAAGCCATAATTTGTTTTGTATTAAAACCATACAGAAAGTATGAATTTTTTTTTACTCTTTTTATGTTCTCTATTTTTCTTTTTATGATATTTAGTTTTTAATCTATGAAAGTTTAGAAAGCAAACTACTCTTGTGCTCTCTGTCTATCCCAAGGCATAATTAGTAGACTATAGTAGACATTATAAGATGATTTTATTATTATACTTAATTAGCAGAAATGTTTTTATCTGCTTTTACACAAATAGGCCATAAAAGATAGATTAACTTTTTTTTTTTTTTTACCAAACTGCTAGTTTCTAGGCTACTTAG